GCCCTGTGCGTCCCAGCAGCGGCGGGTGTCGCGCCGAAGGAGACCCGGAGATACCGGGACGCACGGCTCCTCGTAAACCGCAGTGCCCCGCGCCCTGGCCCCCCGGCATGGCTGTCCTCCTGGCGGCGGTGCTGGCGTCCTCTCTCTACCTGCAGGCGGCCGCCGACTTCGATGGAAGGTGAGATGGGTCCCCGGCGCCCTCTCCTTCCCGCAGGGACCTCCGGTTGCGCAGCCCCGTTCCGCACTGGGAGCTCGTGTCCCGCTTGTAGTGAGCGCAAACCGGCGCAGGGACACAGGTGGCGAGTGGGGCGTCCCTGCAGCCCGCGGCCAGTGCTCAGGGTGGACTGTGTCCGGAGGGGAAACTTGCAGGTGACCGGGCGGCTCGACAAAGGGTGGCGGCGAGGACGCGACTCGGGAACGAGGGGTTCCCGCGTGCTCCCCTCTTGATTTCTGGAAGAGACGGGAGCTCAACATGAGGCTGAGGGGACCCTCCGTGCGTGTGCGTGTGCGTGTGTGTGTGTCCTCTAGAAGGGACAGAAGCTCAATATGAGGATTGAGAGGGGACGCTTCGTGTGTGTGTGTGTGTGTGTGTGTGTGTGTGTGTGTGTGTGTGTCCACGCGGCACCACTCAGACCTGGCGGGCCTGACTGATGCATGCTCTGACAGGTCCCAACAATCTCGAGCTGGGTCTCCGCTGTCACTGAGCGTGTCCTCCCAAGACTGCGCGACGCGCTCTCTCTGAGATCCCTCGCCCTCCGTGAGGGTCGCTCCCCTCAGTCCCTGCTGAAGGCCTCTGCTGGACAGGTTTCCCGCTGGTTCACCCGCCACCCACCCCGCCCCCACCCCTAGAACCTGTCCCTCCACTGCCTTGAAGATGCCGCACTTCTTTTACCTGCAATCTTGGAACGAATCAATTCCAGGATTGATTGGCTTTTCCGGAGGGGAAGCCACGGAGCGCGGAAGAGTGAAGGCAGCCAGCGCTCCTTGTTCAGCACCTGGTTGGAGGAAATAGAAAGTTGGGGGTTATTTTGTACCTTGGGCCTGAGGGTAAAGAGAAGATGAATTGAAAAGATAAAGAGTTTAAGGAGAAGTGGGAAGCAGTCAGGGGCTACGGCTTTTATTTTTAAAATCAATTCTTTGTCCACATGTGAACTGCATTGCTTTGGGGCACACATTCACAAGAGGCACACACACACTTTTAAATGTATTATTGCTTTTAAAAGGCGTCCAAAACAGCCTATTTAGATGTGCGGGAGTAAGTCAGTCTGGTAGGTGTGAATCTAATGATCGCATGCTAAGCGTTCTCTGATACATGGGATCTACACCTTAAACTTGCAGTCTCTGAATTGCTGATGCAGGCAGCTTGCAAAACACAAGGAAACTTTATGCATTCCCCACAGTTTAAATTCCTTGGTTTTAGACCTCTTACTCTTACGGCATGGCAGTGATGGGAGGGGGTAGTTGGATCGGAATGAGTTTTGTTGCGTTTGATTTTTGAATAGCCTCTTCTTGCCCATTTCCTTATCAGCCCTTTATACTCAGCAAAAATTCTTTCTGCTTTGCCAGGTCTTCGGTTACTCAACGCTTTTCACTGTATGGTGTATCAGTGTATGGTGTATTAGTCGAAACTGCCCCCCCCAACAGCTGTGGTTCTGGGGAATCTGTTTTATTTCAAGCTTTCAGAAACCACCCTGTGAATGGTGGTGGCCTGGGATGTCTTGGTTTCAGCTGGCACTGCTTCTCTCCCGACTCCTGTGTGCCGGGTGTGTGTATGTTTAACTTTACAGTTAGAAATTAGGTCGTTGGAGAACTATTACTGAGAAGGTGTCCTGTCCTGAAATTCCTACAGACAGTAAGGAGTTTGTAGCAAAGTGCTGGGTGTGGTTTAAGTAGATTTTTCTGTGTAAAACAAAGAGAGAACGATTTTAAATCTCATGTGTCTTTATTTATTTTACATTTTTTGTTTGTTTGTTTGGTAGGTGGCCCAGGCAAATAGTATCTTCGATTGGCCTGTGTCGTTATGGTGGCAGGATTGACTGCTGCTGGGGCTGGGCTCGCCAGTCCTGGGGACAGTGTCAACGTGAGTATCAGGTCCGGAAGCTCCAGTTCCCTGGGATGTATATCTTTCCTCCATGGTTCTAGACTTTACTCTGCACTTTGGAGGGGTTGCTATTACCAAGCAAGTCTTGGCTGTGCGAATCTGCCCCAAATCCTTATTCTGCCCCTTTCCAACCCAAAGCACCTGTGTCACGGTGCCAGCTTTACCATTCACAGAGAGTCTGTTTGTTTATTTTATTATCTTATGTGTATGGGTGTTTTGCTTGCATGCATGTCTATGCACCATGCGAGTGTTGGGGATTTGAACCTAGGTCTTCTAGAAGAGCAGCCAGTGCTCTTAACTACAGAGCCATCTCTCCAGCCCTGTGCTGCCCATTTAAGCTTTTGTCCTCAGCTTCCACAGGGTTCTTATCGGGCTGCTTTCTTCCTTTGCTCCAAGCTCTGAGATGAAAATGAGATAATGTGTCTAGACAATATTTACACTAAATAAACCTGGAACTTAAGAGTACCTATAAAATCTTCATCGGAGCTAGTGTGTAAAATGACACACTTGCCATTGGCAAGTCTTTTTTTAGGGAGAGAAGTTGTGCTGACATCTACATGGGCCAACCAATAGAGTCATGGAAAACATCATTTGTAAATTCCATAATAAATCAAAGCCTTAGAGTCAGTGCCAAATCAGAACACTGATTTCTGTTTTACTCGTGATCAAAATAGACACATGAATGATAAAGTTCCTCCTCGTCCTAAACAAAAATGTGAGTCATTTCGCACATTTTCCAGATTTTACTGAGTTCTGAATCTCAAACATTTACCCTGGTCTTCCTGTTTTTCTCCGTCCCCTCCACAAAGAGACACCCCAAATGATCAAGACGTTTTCTGGGGCATCTTTTGAGCACAGCGTCTTGTAAGATGAAGGGAACTGAGCTGGACTCCACACTGGGACAACTTGTCGGGCATGAGGTATCATAGAGGACAGTGGAGGAGGCTTGAGGGCAGTGACAGTGTGGGGACTTGGGAAGATGAGGAGTTCCATCAGCTACTATCAATAATACCCTGATGTTCAACTTCGTTGAGGAAGGAGGACAGTTGTCACAGGTTAATCAGTGGGCATTCAGGCTGTTGTCTCCAGCTGGGGACAGGCAGGTGAGGAGGACTAATGTTTGGCTTCCTTGCTCACTCACGGCATTGCTTCCTGCAAAAGAGAGATGAAGTTTTTGGTTTCTAGTCCATGAAAGGACCAGGCAACATTGTCCTGCTTTCATTGACTAATCTATTCAGATTAATCGATTAAGTTGTTTCAAGCGGAAATGGTCCAAAACGGGACTGACCCCTGGGAGGATGTAGCCTTCTGCCAAATACATGACAGTGTTAGAAATCCTGGCAGTCAGAGGCAGTCTGGAGGCTGATGGGCCACCAGGCTAGATTACCAAAGAGTAAAGAGACCCAGTCGTGAAACAAACCCATCCTCGATGAGAACAGGGTCAGACTCTTTGCTGGAAGGAACTCACTTGCCTTCTTCCCTGCTGGAACTCTCAGGAAACTGGCCAATTGAACACTGAAGGGCCTGGAGGTCCATGCAGTTGCCCGGACCCTCCCGGGTCAAGGAGACATGCCCTGGCAGAATGCCCTGTGCGATAGTGGGGCACACCTTCACACCTGCCCCAGAGGCAAGGATTAGGAGAATGTAGGTTCGATGCCAGGTGTGTTGAAAGAATTCTAGTGTGAAAACTCCCGAGCTCTCTGGAGAAGTCCTGCTGTGGAATTCCCCAAGCCACACGAGGAGCCAGTCCTGTTTTCCTGTACCAAGTAATTAAGATTTCTCAAGTATGCACTAGCTTGGCAAATCTGAATCTGAACTTTTAAAGTTACAGTGGCGCTATGAGACATCATCACCCCAGAGGTTTCCGAGACCTTTTCTTTCTCCCGTGCGTTTCCTACCGGATGGGAGACGCTGTCATTTTCAAAGCTTCCTTTCTTTACTGAAAGAATGCCAAGTGGGGGGCACTGGGCATTTCTCCTTTCGCCTTTGTTAGTCCTGAGCTTGCGCGGGAAGTGCTGTGTAGGAGCTGGAGGTTAAAGTGGTCACATTACAGAGGTGTAAGATTGTCTTTGCCACATGGCTGTTCATCTGCGATGTACGAACGTTCAGGAGCCAGCATAACCGAGGGCGGCGTGGACGTCCGGTCTAGACAGCCCCGTTTGAAATTCCGGTTCGACCTTCTTGTCTGTGTGACCTTGGTTGAATAATTCATCATTCCTGTGCGTCCTCTGTTATCTTCATCTCTAAAATCAATGTGAAATATTACACACCTTAACGGCATAGAACGCTGAAATGAGCTGTCGCTTGTAAAGCGCTGAAATTCTTCGTGGCCTGAGCAGACGCTACAGCTGTCCTTGGTCATGTTCAGTGTCCATGCTGAGTGCAGGAAGAGTAAACGTGTGTTGTTAAATTCCGTGTTATTCTATCAGGAAAAATACACGCGTTGTGTTATTGCTGGCCAAATTAAAAATAGTTCCGAGGTTCCC